TTTCTGGAATAATTGTGTTGAAATAATCAACATTTGCTGCTAGAGAATAAGGAAGCAGAACATCTCCCTATGACCCCACATTCACCAGCTTATCCAAGTAAGCTAATTATCGCCAAATAGTTCTTGCCCTATATTCCATTCAACCCAGTAAAGGATCAGTTTCCTTCGAAGCCCAGCAAAGCATATTCCACATTGTCTTATGCAAAGCAATGACCTTACTGATTCAAATGCAAAATTCACCAGGACAAAGTGTTCAGTAGAAAGATTTCATTTCCACTGAGGCAGAAAAGTATTTGCCGGTGGTTTCTCATAATGGCTCTGCTATAAACAACCTGGATTCTAATCAGCATGAAGATAGAATGGCAATAAGGTTCTAGTTGAGGTGTTGTCATCTGAAACATTACCTCCCCCTCCACCACCATATACATCTATTTCAATAAAATCTTGACTACATTTCAGGAAGAAAGAGAAGGAAATAACTTTCTACTCATTTTAATGTCAAAAATATGATGCGTTTAGCAGGGTCTACTTTACCTGAGAACTGCAGATGTGAAACCGAGGCGCAAAGGTTTTATCATTTATGTTATTTCCAGCAAAAATGAAAAGTGCTCAATTCTCTGAACTGGAACTGGTCCATCAATTTCTCCCACCTCCTACACTTCCCTTGCTATCATTACTATGGCGTATCCCTTCTGGAATGCCTTTGATTCTTTCTGTCAAAAGTAATTTGTCCCCTTAATGGAAATATATAAAATTTGTATTAGTATTATAAGTTTAAATGAAAGGTCCTCGGGAACATTTTATAGATGACATTTCAAGAAAATGCCCAGTTGGAGTATTTTCAAATACCTTGGTTCACAGTGTTATTTAGCAAAAAAAAAAAAAAGATGTATGAGGATGAGTGGAAGCCTTTTTAACATATTGTTCTTTGTTTTTAATATTTATTTAATGAGATAGCAAGAAGTGCAAGAAGTAAGGCAGTAACAAAAGTTTGCAGTTTAAAAAAATTATAAAGATAATGTGGTTTACAAACAAAATTAAGTGCTTTCAGTTTAGTGAAGACTCAACACACCTATTTTTGCCTCATATCCTGTTGAAAACAAGGGGGAACATGCTGTGCTACTGAATTTTTTTGGTCAGGGCAATCAATTTTTCATACTCCAACAAATGTTCATTAGTGCTATCTATCTATCAAAATATCTATCTATATACTCCTAAAACTCTGGTGTCTTTTTAATAGCTTGTAACCTTCATGTGGGAAAAAACGCTGCATCATAGGACAAAAAAAAGGTATCCCAAATGAACTAACTTACAAAACCCTGGCACGCAGTACTCCTGAGGGAATGAAATTTGGGGATTTCTTTTCTGCTTCAGCTGCTATTCAGTGCTGTGCCACGCTGCCCTACTCACATGATACTCCTTTTCAATGTCCACTGACAGCTTCTCATAAGTCAGTGGGGAACCCAGAAGGAACTGATATGATTGCTGACATTCCATGTCACCTTCCCATTTGTGGGAAGTTTGCAGGGAGAAAGTCAGTGGAGAAATAGTGCACCCTTCACCAGTTCCTCTGCTCACCTCATGCTGACCACACACACACACACACATTTCTTTACTCATTCCTTCAGTCCTCCACCTGGCAGCAGCTACTTACTTGCCTGCTGGAAAGAGGAGAGGAAGGAAGGAAGGAAGGAAGGAAGGAAGGAAGGAAGGAAGGAAGGAAGGAAGGGATTTTCAATACTCTGTGCCAGTTTCTCACAAGGAAACTCAATGGGGAAGCCCACGGGAAGTCAGAAGTCACGCCTGCTCCTACTGCATTTTGCCCCAGCCATGGTTATACTATTTCTCTGTTTAAGTAAGGAAATATTTCTGAAATGTTGTCTAGTAATAACTAAAAATAATGTTCCAATCCAATATATTTACTCAAAAATAAGGACAAACGGTTTAAGTATGTCTTTCTAGTCTCTGATTTTAAGATTTAAAAGTATCTCCACTATTATAGAAGTATTGTTACAGAGACCTTGATTAGGTAGCCACCAAGTTAAGTATTTTCTTGGAGCAGTTTTAATAGTAAATAGTATTCAGTAGTAGAATCAGTTGATACCATTTAAGTTCTACAAAACAATATAAATTGGCAGAAGTCCAGGCAGAAGTCTAGATAATAATCTAGTGGAAATAAAATGATCCATGAAAGGGGAAGGTTAATATTTGGATTAGTGGTGTCCATTTCCCTCCAAAAAGATTAATAAAAATTGTGGTGAATAAACCTTTCTTTTCCTCTACTGATAGCTTCTTTCCAACAATAGAAAACCTGTGGATCAGTATCAGCTGAACCTTCATTACAGGATTCCTTGTAATAAACAGACATTTCATATCAATATTTAAATCATATTTCTTCTGTATGCACAAATATTATGGTGGGTGGTGATGAGAGACTTCACAATACCAAACATCATATATAACCATTTATAGAAAATGATGGACAACTGTATTCTTAACATGATAATAAAGCTACTAACAGTCAGAAAGACTGACAATGTTTAAAAGATATTTCTTCAACTGACACCAGGATTACAGTGTTAGGTTGCTTCACCCCAACCAGAAGACATAAAATGCTTTTCACTATCTCATTGTCAACCTGCTTTTAAACAGTATTAGCTGTCTACTAAGGCAAGAGAACAAAAGGATTGCCAACTATTTCTGGCACTGTCATCCAAGGTTATTTCCCTACTGCTGACACAAATTGTTTTTTGATGAAGGTCAAAATATGTAATTTCAATTCTGGTTAATTAGCATATTTAAACATCTTAACAAAATTTAAGATTAAGATATTGGAGCAAATGTTCTGAAAAGCCCAGGTCATGCAACAAACAATACTAAGATTTGTTTGGATTTGTCTTAGTGTGCTGTGTAAACCCAGCCATTGTGGTTTGTGAGCAATTATTTATGGCTTAGCATGTTATATGAACCTGACCAATAAGATATTCAAAAACCATGTATAAGCAAACCATAACTTTTTAGTATACCCTTGTTCCACAGCTCCTTTATTAGATTTCTTTGAAGATAGTCAGCATCCTAAAATATTTGCAAAACCTGAACTCAGCTGTTGAGAGTTCTACTACTACCACAAAAGATGGGATTTTTCACACCATCCCTGGCCAGGAATTAATGGGGTAAAATTGCTCGTTAACCATGATAACTTTTTGCAGCAAATAGTCTGGAGGCATTTTAAAGACTAATAATTTTATTATTTCATAAGCACAAAACATATTTAGAAACATGTTAATCTTGAGAAATGCATAGTTGACAATGGCGTGCTCTGTATTACTGGTTTCACTTCCTGTCTTACATAGTATACATAATATCCATATAATAAATTGCAAACTTCTGGTGAATGACCAGCCTGTTTCGGATTATTGGTGTATTGCTAGTAGCTAACATTCTTGCAAAGTTTTACCCAGCTTTGGTATTGTGTGTGATTTTAAGGACATATGCATAAAGCAGGATGATTTTTTTAAATGGTTGTGAAGAATTCTTATAATATTCTTTTGCTTTGAAAGTTAAAGTACTGATGGTTGAGATCCCAGTTTAAAAAACAATATAAACACACTAAGCAATATTATTTGGCTGCTGGATATATTTGGAATGTTGGCAATATGCCATAGAGCAGTGTTTCTCAACCTTGGTAGCTTGAAGATGGGTGGACTTCAACTCCCAGAATCCCCCAGCCAGCGCTGGGGGTGGGGGATTCTGGGAGTTGAAGTCCACCCATCTTCAAGCTTCCAAGGTTGAGAAACACTGCCATAGAGGATATAGGTAATTTAAAAAAAAAAAAAAGATAATCTGAGATGCTAACTTCTATCGATCTATAGTTGCATCTGGCATTACTTACAGATGGATGTGACTACCGATACTGATTTTTATAAATAAGATTCTTTACTCCTAGTTATAGGAGTAAGCATAGTTATATGCTATGATTGACATTTTTCTATAAAGACTCAGTTGAATACAGAAATATTACTTTTGGTCCATCAAACAGCCCTCCAGAATTTCAAATCCACGATTCTATTGTTTGCTCAGAGATAACCATGTTAGGATGAGGAGGTTCTAGATGCAGCAACTCCAGCTGGTAGTGACCAAACCTTAATACCAAATCCAAGCATATTTGAGTGGTAGCATCCAGCACTTTATTTCAGTGGGAATAACAGCCTTTGAAATCAGTTGATTTTTCTTTCATTTATTCGTGTCCAATTCTCAGAGACTGCCTGGACTAGTCCCTGGAGGGTTTTTTTGGCAAAGTGTTATAGAAATAGTTTGCCCCTTGACTCCTTCTCAGAATTGAGAGTGAGTGGACTGGCCAAGATCACCCAGCTGGCTTCCTGTCTAAGGCAGAAGTAGAACTCACCGTTTCCTGTTTTCTAACCTGATGCCTTAACTACTACACCAAACTGGCTCTCCTAGTTGAATTTACTTCTGAATAAACAAGTAGTACAATAGCTTGAAATCACAAAAATCCTAGGGGAGGGGAAAAAAACCCAGAAGCACTTATTTACATGTGCTGGGGAAAATTTCAGAGAGCCCCTAGCAAAGCAAACTTTCCAATATCAGCATATCACATATTTCCAGCAACAGACAGAAGATGGATCCTGAATTCACATTGTCAAGCCGGCCTACGTAGACAGGTGCCGCAGGAAAAACCCCATTGACAGCATCGACTTGCCGCACCGCATGCCGGGAACTGTAGTTCTCTTTCAGCATCGAACTTACAACATTGGAGACATTCGTGGACATTCTTTTTTTTAATCTAAGCTTATTTCTTTCCTTCTTTGGCAGAAGATGTTTCAAAGAATTAACAAACTCCCGGCCACTTGTGAAATTTAAAACGCCATCCGCAAGGCCCGAAACAAACGAGGACGAATTTCTCCCCCTCCTTTCGCATACGCGCATGCGCGTCCATCATATGTATAACTATGCGACCGAGAGCCATGACCGACCTCCTGTTCCGTCGGCACGGGTTATTTCCGCGCATGCGTGCTCCTTCGGAGGATGCTGAGCTGTCTCCTGTAAGAGACCTTACACGGCGGCTTTCCCCTTATTTGAAACTCCAGCGGCGGCTTCCTCCGTCCCTTCCTGCTTTTGTTGAAGGAGCGCCTCGGAAACAAGGCGGCAGCGGTCTGAACAGAGGAGGGTCTAAGTGACAGGTTAGCCTCGGGCAGGATGAGCCAATGCCGGTTGACTAAAATCAGTGCCTCGCGGGCCCAGGGCAGCCTCTAGCTGTCCCGCATCGCCCAAGTGGCCCCGGATGGGCGGGGCCCTAGAGGATGAGGAGGGCGCGAGCCACGGCCGTTGGGGTGGGAGGGAGGGGAGGAATAAGGCGGGCGGGGGAGGAGGAGGGAGGGGGCGGGCGCTTTTTACGGGCAACGCCCGGCAGCCGACCCTCTGTTTATTTCGGCCGGGTGTCTTTGGGGGCGATTCCTCCGGTCGTCCCCGTGAGTTTTTTCCGAAGAGGCTGCTGGGTGAGGCCTCCTATCTCGCCTCTTTCTGAGAACTCTGTCCTCGGCTTCTCTCTCTCTCACACACACACATAGATACACAAACGGGAAACATTCCCTAGTTCCTATTTCCGGAGCGGTTTTTCTGAGGGAAATACAGGTAGTCCTCGATTTACAACAGTTCGTTTGGGGACCGTTCAAAGTTATTACAACGGCACTGGGGAGAAAAAAGGTGACTTATGACCGTTTTTTCCCAGTGACAACCTTTGCACTATCTCAAAGGTGCTTTTTCAGGAAGCAACTGGACTTCCTTGGTTTTTTTCTTTGAAGACGTTTCGCTTCTCATCCAAGAAACGTCTTCAAAGGAAAAAAACAAAGAAATCCCAGTTGCCTCCTGAAAAAGCACCTTTGGGACAAACATGACCTGGATGACTGAGAATCTCTACAGACTTTTGACCTATGCAATATAAATGTAGGTATATGCATAATTTTTTTTATTTATTTATTTTGTCATGTTTCTGTAGTGTATATCGGAGGGCGGTGACCCTTTGAGAGCTGTATGGAACGCAATTTCATTTTAATGTATGCCGATTGGTGTATATTCAAAGTGACAAAATTAGTCTAAGTTTTACGTTTGCAGCAACCCTATGATCACGTGATCAAAATTAAGATGCTTGGCAATTGGTTCATATTTAGGACATTTGCATTGCCCCAAGGTCATGTGATCACTTTTTGTGACCTTCTGACAAGCAAAGTCAATGGGGAAGCCTGATTCACTTAATAACCGAGTTACTAACTAATCAATTGCAGTGATTCACTTAACCATTGAGACAAAAAAAGTCTTAAAACGGGGCAAAACTCACTGAACAAATGTCTCACTTAGCAACATAAATTTCAGGCTCAGTTGTGGTTGTAATTAAGGACAACCAAGCATCTTGAGCGCTTAAAAGAGCAACACATTTATGTCTCTGCCCTAAAAAAATTGCAATTGAAAGAAAATTTATGTCAACACTTTAGGCAAGGAGCAAAAGAACCCCATCTGAGCTCCCAGTAAACATGAACTGGGAACCAGATAGATCCAGATGCCAAATGTATTCCATAATTCACAGCCACAATATGATCGGACGCTGATTTAACAAAACGTCATTAGTAATGTATTATTAGGGTCTGAATGTTTTACCTGCTACAGAATGAAAGTGCTGCCTACCCAGTTAGCTGTCTTTGTTACTACTAGTCCCTACTATCCTGTCTCTGTTGGCTTTGTCTCAAGGCCTATGGTGACTTGCTGTCCTCTGAGAATCTGGACAAAGACTAGAGGACTTTATAGTATAGTTTATTGAATAGCCCGAAGGCCTTTTCAAACAAAACAGAAAAGAAAAAGGGAAAAAGATAAAACAGTTACAAAAATAGCAATCTAAAAATATATGATAGATGACATTAAAATTTTACAATATCAAATTTCAATAGCTAAGTTGCCAAGACTAGATAACCCAAATAGGATAGCTCCTCTCTAACTGAGCTCATCTTCCTTACAATCGATAATTTTTTTTTTGATATAACTGGCTCGTATTGCCGTCATTCTTTTAAGGTATCGAGTGATCGCTCTTACCAGGGGAGGAGAGTCAGCCCTCAACAGAAAGGCTAATTTTTGGCTTATATTCCAGTGGGGAAATTTATTTATAATTGGGGACAGATATTGTTTTCTTACTTCTTGATAGAGACTACATTTGAATATTATATGCACCGTGTCCTCCACGACGTTTACCCCACATATGCATATTCTTTTGTCATACGGGATTTTCCGATAACGGCCGAATCTAACGTTGGTATCTAGAAGTTTGAATCTAAACTTAGCAAATAACTGTCTCTCCACTGATGGCATTTCTAAATGTAAATACTTTTCCAGAGTGAAAGTTGTTTTAACTGCTGTCAGCAGTTTAAGGGAATGATTAGTTGAAAGGGTTGCCATGTCCATTTGCCCATGTATATCTTTAATGAAGGACTTTATACACCTTGAGGCTATCCTTCAACAGTGTTGGAATAAAGGGGGGAAACTCAGCTTTACAAACAGTACTGCCAAGATGAACTAAATCTGTCTAGGTAAATATATATAATAACTGTAACATGTCCAGTAGGATATTGCAGAAAAATATGCATGCTTGAGCTGGTGCTGTGGAAAGATGAAAGGAAGGAAAAGACAAATCTATATCATTTGCGTTTTGCATTGATTGAATCAGTTTGTTCAAATATATATAGTCCTGGTATTTCTTAATTATCCTGATATTAAAAAAGCGATATTTTTCTCTGTTTTCTTTATTATATATATGTTTATATATAAAATTTTTGTCATCATAAGTGCATTTAAAAATCTGGAGAAGCACAAAACATGAAGGAAACTTGTCCGTTTTGAGTTCCTAGAAGGATAATTTATTAAGTCAATTTGCTTAAAAATGTTGACCCAAAGAAGTTTTCTAATACCTTTGCCTAATAGTAAGGGCTTCTTTTCAACATGTATTAAAGGAAAAGGATAAGTTTATGGCAAAGAGTGATTCAACTGAATTTATATATATATAAAAGTCAAAAATATTTGCTGGCCTTTCAGAAACATTATTATAAATAACTCTTTAAATGAAAGTGGAATGTTCCCTATTCATATGCCATTAATTTTGTCATCCAGTTTCTCTGTTTCTAATTTTTATGTTAGCTTCTCTGCATTTTTATTAAATTCATCTAGAGATTAATATGTTTACAGTTTACAGTTTGGTGCCAAAAGTTTGTTCCAAATTTCAGGTGGTAGTCCTTCATACATTATTGCTATGGAACCATATTTTGTAGTAAGCATCTTTTATTTTAACTAATAGATATACCAGTACATGTAGAAAAATACTTAATTTTATATTTGATTCATGTTATTGACAGGATTCTAACTATGTCTGATAAAAGTGAACTGAAGGCAGAGTTAGAACGTAAGAAACAACGCTTGGCTCAAATAAGGGAGGAGAAAAAAAGAAAAGAAGAAGAAAGAAAGAAAAAGGAAGTAAGAATTCTTTTTTTCAAATTACACCTAGCAGATAATTTGCTTACATGCTAAAACTTCCTAGTAATTTTTGTTAATAATAGTATGTGTCAAATTTTGAATGCAGTTAGCAACATCAGATACAGTAAATAACATTAGTAATTTCATAGAATCATTTTTCTCCCCAGACTTTACATAGCTCAATATATGTATTGTTTTATCTGTATCACTACATTACTACTAGTAATTAAAATATTTCTGATTAAATATAACTAAGACGTCATGCTCAAAAAGCCTTCTTATCTTACAATAGCTTCAGTTAGTGACACTTTCAAACTGACATCATCATGCATCTTAGTGGTATACTTCCTGACCAGTAGTATTCTTCTGAGATAAGCCACTCTGACTGCTGTATTGAGTAATTTTTAAGGATCCTAGAGATACATGAGTGTCTTTATTTTTTCATTCAACTCTTTTTTTGATTTTTGCATTTTAACAAGGGTTAGAACTTCTTGGAAATTAACAGATTGTTTGAAAAAGTATGTTAAGAATTATTATTGATATTAAATTCCTGTGAAAACTCTTTCTAAATTGAGGAATGGGATAATAAAATTTGCTATGTCCGAGCAAAAGAAAATAAATATTTCTAGAATGTGGACAAATTAATTTGTTACTAAGTCTTGTTCCATAGTAAAATTATCTTTTTTTTTTTACAAAATTATTCTAAAAAATCATGAGAACTTGCTAGGAACAATTTTTTTACTTATAATCAGTAACCTATATAAAGGCCATATGAAGGAGTTTTTGAATAACTGTATATCTGATGATCTGGGATATATTTTTGTTTGGCCATTTATGTTACAAGTACAAATACTAATTTACAGTATAAGTAAATTATTGATTGCAGGTTTACCTGAGTCCTTATTACTGCTATAGGAACCTGGAAGCTGAGTCCTATTTTTCTGCATTGATCTTGAGGAATAAAGTGTTGAAAATGTTTGTCTTGGCTTATAATTGTAGGGTATCGTTTCATCCCCACTTACCTCACTTACCTCACTATGGCTACTAAGGATGTACAGTGTTTCAGATTCAGTAGATATTTTGGAACACGTACCTCTGTCATTAAAGCAGTCATAACTTATTTCCATTCTATGGAATATCTGAATTTTAATGAGTCACATTAAAGTGGCTTCTTCTTCGCAGATGCTGCATTTGCATTTCTGTGTGTTCAAAAACAATGCACAGCCTGAATTATGTTCTACTTTTCAAAAAATGGCTAGAACTTATATAGTCCTTTCTCCCTCTTTTTTCTCTATTTTCATTTTTAAGATACTTTCTATTATCGATTTTAACAATACTCAATAGAAAAATAGAAAATAAATACCAAGTGTAAAAGAAAAGAATCTATCTCTTCCTCCAAGTAGGGTTGTTGCTATAAAATTTCTTATCCAGACAGCCAGGTAAGACTTTCAGTAAAATATTACGTATTTATTATCACCAAATATTTTTGTTTTAAAAAAATCTTATACAGTAAAGATGTGAAATGACATATTCATTTTAATAAAATACATAGACTGATCAGAAGAAAGATGCCCTTCCTGCACAAGATGAGTCTGACCTTGAAAAAAAGAGACGGGAAGCAGAAGCTTTGCTTCAGAGCATGGGTTTAACACCTGATACTCCCATGGGTAAGAAGTATACAGAACAAAATGTCATGTAAATGTCCTTCATGCAATGAAACCTTAGCATGAAACTTGAATTACTCACTCATGCATGTACCTGATATGTGTTCATTATCACTACAATTAACTTAGGAAACTTCTTAGAACACATTGTTTTGTCTGATTTAGAATTATTTTATTAGAATAATATTACTGATTTCTAATTCTTCATCTCTTTATATTTCATCAACTAAAACTAACTAAGACTATTCCATTAACATATAAAATCAAGGCAGCAAAAGGATTAGCAGTCTAGACCTTCCAGATGTTTTTGACTACATCCGGATTGTTTAAGATTGCTACTCCTAATTTAAATGTTGCCAAATAAATATTTTCATTCTTCTTTTTCTAAGCAATTGATTGAATGAAGAATGAGCCTGTCAGTTCATAGAGTAGAAATATGATCTAGCAAAAACTTTTACTAGAATTTGGGAGCAAGCTGGTTTTAGCTAAGTGCACTTCAGTGTTGAGAGAAACTTTTGAAGAGATTGTACCAGAAATAAGAGTTAATTTATATCCCTTCTATCATTTTCTCCAGTGGAAACATCCCATAACTCCAATTCTACTGATAGGACCCCTCTCGTGAAACCGACATTTCTATTTGAAGTTTTTTTAAAAATTTATTTTAAAACACTTATAAGCCTAATACTCTTTTAAGTAAAATAGTTAACTATTGAAGATAGTTACTGCCTATTAGGACAAAGAGTTAGAACTATGCCACAAGAGGGCATTGCAACATTGCAGGAAACTACCTTATTCATTCATTCAATCAATTTCCATAGCCACCAATCTCAGACAAGTGACTACTACTTGTTTTTGTTCAAGTTGTTTGAATGGGCCAATTTCTTAATGAATAAAGTAGTTTATTTTGGGTGCAAAAATTATTTATTTCTTTTAATATAAGTCTTAAAAATGAAGGATATATTTTGGAAACAGCTACCTAGAATGATAGACCTACTTTAAAAAACAAAATATAAAATACTATATTTTTTAGCATTAGAAGCATTTAGGAAGTTTTGTAAGCTTGGTTTCAAAAATACACATTTTATTTGTTTTTAAAATTATTTGTTCTCTGAAAAAATAGTCAAAGGTAAATTGACTATAGGTGCAATTTCACATGTTATTTGGCTGTTACATTTTTAAATTTTAGATTAGAAACTTGGGGTATTTCACTGCAAAAGGTAACATTTCTGGTCCATATGAAATAATTATAAATGTCCCTTTCTAGTTCCCCTTGTTCATGCATACATATAATATGTTTATGTACCCCTGGAATTTCTGAACTCTGGGGCTTATTTTCAAATGTGTTAAGGTATTCTAATTGAAAGGAAGATCTCAGCCTTCATTAGAGCACCAGAAATTTCTGTGCTTGATTTTTTTGGGTCATAATTAACTGCATTATTTTCTGCATCTTTATTTGGAAGTAAACATTGCTTTGTTTGGTAGTCTTTATTGCTTAGTAAGTTCTGCGAGGGCAAATATTTTTGATCCCTTATATGAAATATTGTCATTACTTTCAGTATTATTTTAGTTATGTAGTTCATGTGCACCATTAAGAGCACCATTAACCACATATGGTTCCCATCTGTTCATGAGGGTTCTCATTATCCTTAGTACCAGGAAATGGAAAATATTGAAGTAAATAACTACAGTTCTGCCTATAGAGGCCAAGAACCATAATGCTATAGTAGGCAGTTTCAAAACAAAATGGGATGGTTAAAATTTAAAAGTTTAGTTTTTAGATCCTGCATTAATTTAATTTTAGCTTTTAGATCCTGCATTAATTTAAATTAATCTGTGAACTGTTTAATTTAATAAACAATAGTTAGTCAATTTTATTAATTAAGCCTTCAGTGCTAATTCAGCAAGATCTTTCATTTTGCTTTGTTAATGCAAATTTTCAATGTGTTTTGAAATTCTAAAAGCAAAACTATTATGGAAATAAAATAATGCTATTTCCACTGGTTGCATTTTTTTAGTATTTCTTATGCTTAAGTAAGGACTCCCTGCAAATGTGAAATTTCCATTCAGAGTGCGATGAACAATAGAAAAGCTTTTGAAACTGAAAAAAAAATCACATTAAGTATTTTAAGCATTTCAATCCAAAAATATTTTATTCCTACTAATGTAAAATAGCCAGTAGATGGCAGCAGTGACTAGTTAAAATATTTAGTGTTATAAGACCTCTAACTTGACAATGATAGAGTATTGTACAGATTAAAATATATATAATATAAAAAAACAAAAAATAAACAGTATATGTAAGAGGAAAACAAACATGCCCTAATCGGAATAGATACTGCACACCAAATAGACATACTTCAACCTATATCAAAGCTTGGGGAAAAATACAGGTGTTCAGAAATCATTTAAAGGCTTGCAGACGCAGGACTCAGGACCAGCCAAACCTCTATTCCAAAGAACAGGAGTCATAACAGAGAAGGTCCATTTCCTAGGTTCCATCAGATAATTAATGCAGCTCATGTGACAGAGGAAGTATACGGGCAAATAAGCATGTAGCCATAATTGCTTGTATTACTTACTGTATTCTGGATCAGTTGCAGCTCCTGAATTGTCTTCAAAGGCAGATCAAGTAGAGTAAATTGCAATAATTCACATATGAGATGACCAAGACATATGTTCCCGTGAGAAGGGATCCTTTATTCAAGAAAGGTTGCAATTGGCATATGAGTTGAATTTGAGTGAAAGCTGTCCTTCACTCCTCTTTAAGCAGGATGTCTTAAGTCCAGGAGGATGCCCAATTGTGTGTCAGTTCTGTATTGGAAAATACCACTAATTTAGAACCAAAGATAGAAAATTTCGTGCTCTGGAAATAATATGTACCCATAGCCTCTCAGGTTTATCAGGGTTGAATAGCCTGCCTACCCTACCCTCATCCCTACTCCAGTTTTAAACAACTCTTGACTTTAAGTCAACTGTCTCTTTTTAAAGTAATAAATAACTAGTTGAATTTGTATCTAACACTGGTTGGGAGGGTTGGTTTTTTCAAATTAACATTTAAGGTACAGTAGTGAAAGAAATGTATGCAAATTTTGCTAAGATTTTATCAATTTCATCAGTTCTGTAGTAAGTTTAAGTTGTATAAATATATTTCACTCTCCATCAGTGCTTATATTTTAATTATCAGAATATTGAGCAATGCTGCATAGTGCAACACTGGAACAGGAATTGGCTCTTTCCCATTTTCCTTTATTGAAGCATACTGTGAGTATGACTTCATAAAAGGACACTGTAGATCAAAACCAATATATTTAACCATAATAATGGTGAAAATATATTTAGTGTAGGAATGATTTTATGTGAAAAATTCTGTTTTCTCTAAAATCAAAACACTAAAGAACATGCAATCCTAATCTCTTCAGTAATTAAAAAAATACTTTAAAAAAAATTTAAGGTTAACCACTGCCACTTAACATTTCAAAAATTTTTAAATAAAAATTAAACGTGAGAACTAAAAAATAGAGAATGTACTGAAAATAAATTATTTTCAATACATAATAGCATATTTTACAAGTCCATATCTGCAAAAGGCCCTAGGTTTCAGCATCAACCTCTTCTAAAACTAGTTGCAGAGAGGTAATTTTCATGGAACCTGCAAGCCATCCAGAATTACCTTGTAGGGGAGATGGAGGCATAAATAATTAATAAAATAAAATAAAAATAAATAAATAACCTTGTCTGCTATTCTGTTGTTCTTCTGTAGCAGTTTTTCAAAATAATGTTTGGAAAGGATAATCATCTTGTTCTTTCTCTCCTGATTCTAATAAAACCTTTCCTCAAAACTTATGGGAATTCTATGCAATACATTGCATTTTTAATTACTTAATTTCTAAGAAAAGGTTGTTGCCATTATACAGTATTAATAATCTATATTTTCCCTTGCATTTTAAGTAAATTACATCTTTTAATATTATCCCAAAATGCATTTAAATGGCAAATACTGCATGAATGTCCAGCATGATATGTTAACATTGTCTTTTCCCCTTTTTTTCTATTGTTCATTTTCATCCATTTTATTTATTTTTGTTTTCTTTTGTTTACCATCACTTTTTTAATGCTTCCATGTTAAATTAATTTGGAAACATCCTAAGCTGTGCAACCTCTACGACTAGTAACAGCGGATACCTGTCTGTTTCACTATTTAGTCCCTCCTCCTATGTCTCCATCTTCGAAATCTGTGAGCACACCAAGTGAGGCCGGAAGCCAAGATTCTGGTGATGGTGCTGTTGGTTCAAGGTATGTTTTCTCAGAATGATTGATATTATGAAGTATAAAATACTTTGTTAGGGTATTTTTAAATAATATAATACATGTATCAAAAGATATAGCCCGTTCTTCTTGGCATGTCACAAGACATATCCCAATGGCTTTCTCCTCCCTCTATCCAGCAGAATTTGATAGCTGCCTGAAAGTGGAGGCCAGTGCCTTTCAGTTTTTCAAGACAGCTTCTTTTCCATTAAGCACTCTTGCCAAAATGTGTCTTGAACTGTACTAAATTCTCAGCTAAAACTTTGGAAAACCAAATAAGAAAATGAAAGTATTTAAGTTGAAATAATGACTAATGTATGTATGTATGTATGTATGTATGTATGTATGTATGTATGTATATATTAAGGAAAGAGAGTCTGTATAATATGTAATTTTCTAAAGGTTCCTAATGTTTCTAATTCCTCTACTGTTATTTTCTTAATGTTGCATTTTGGAGTGGCGCTCATTTGAATAAAGCACAACTTGAACAATTTAATTAAATCATTCATTTAAATTCTTTCATTTCTACAGGCAAAATAAGTAATCAGATATTTATTATCAAGTATTCTTTTTTAATGCTGCAATATGTCAAAATGCTCTAGTGCTTGGTTTTACTTCATGAAAAAGCTAGTATGTCTGATAATTGACAAAATTGTTATTGGCATGGGGTGAGATGGGAAAAGAGATAGAAGCCTTGGTGGCTTACTAAATAGATTTGAAAATAACACTATGTCTTCTTCTGTGGCCTTCCGCTGCTTTGTATTTATTGATTGTGATGGTATCTAATGGGTGTTCTCCTGCTCAACATTCCTTGTCTTTTTGAGATGTGCCATCAGATTTCTCATTTTAATGTCCCAAGTTTCTACATTTCTACCACTGTACTAGTGTTTCTTTCTTTTAAATAGCTGTCTTAGAGGTTAAGGCAAATTTTGCAAGAAGTAAAAAGGGAGAGAAAGGCCTGCTTCCATCAGTGTAAGTAGCTATGTTCCATAGTCTACAGGTTGAAACAAAATGATTACTACTTGATTTTTTAAAATCTTTGGTTTATTAAGAAACATAGTAATCTCTAGATTTATTTAACCACAGCCAGTTTAACATAATCATGTGGTCAGGTTAATAATGTAGAGTAGGAGTTAATTATGCCTTTAAGCTATAAGTTTCACTTGTACCTATACTTGTATGAGTAGAAGACAGGGTATGCTGCAGGCAGATCCTATGGAGTGTGAGTGGGTGCTACAGGAAGTTGTTGCAGCAGGCACTATGGAGGGAAGGTAAAAAAGCAGCAGGAACAATGTGTGATCTCCTCCTGACTTCTGCCTTGACTTTGCTTGTGGGTAAGTCAAGGAACATTGCAAATCAGATCACATGACCACAGTTTGCTGTAATGTTGTAATACAAACCTGGGCACCAAGTGCTTAGATTGGGAATATTTGACTTTGAGGATATTGTGACAGTCAGAACTCTGAGGACTGATCGTAACTCCCAATCATTCAACACCATTGTAACTTTGAATGGTTGCTCAACTAATAGTTGTAATCTGAGAACCTGCAGCCTGGTTTCTTTGTATTAATTGGTGTTATTACTTACCTCAGAGTTCTCTGTCACAGGATAATGTCAACAGGACGTGTTTATTATAGGTTACTTCTAATAAACAGTATATCCTATAGATTCAAATGTTATAGCAAGTACTGTTCTGAAGATAGTATCTATTCTTAGTATTTTGGTATAAATTGGAAAAAATAGCTTATAGATTTTTTTAAACTACCATTATTTATATTTGCTTAGAAATGCTAAATAGTGCCCAAGAAATTGTTTGCTGAATTTTATAGGTATAGTTGTAACAATCTTATTAAATTTAGTCTATATCAGTGATGGCTAACTTTTTTGCCATTGCATGCCAGCAAGGAGGGGCGGGGGATCACGTGCACGCATGCCGACACCCATAATTCTATGCGCCCCGTCCCCGCACATGTGCGTGAGACTCCCCCCACTCCTGGCACATGATGGCCCAGTAGGCCCATTTTTCTCTCTCACTTGGCTGCAGAACCTCTCTAGGAGTCTCAGGAGGGTGAAAACGGCCTCCCCCCCCCTCGGAGGCCCTCCAGAGGCCAGAAACAGCCCATTTGCCAACTTCTGGTGGGACCAGAAGTTGGCAAACAGGCCGTTTTCACCTTCCCCAGACTCCTAGAGAGTCTCTGGAGGCTAGGGACAGCAAAAAAATGGGCCTTCCGGTCCCACCGGAAGTTGGCAAATGGGCCATTTCTAGCCTCCGGAGGGCCTCGGGGGGGAGGCCATTTTCGCCCTCCCCAGACTCCTAGAAAGGCTCTGGAGCCAGGTGAGAGAGAAAAACGGGCCTTCCCCCCCCCCCCCCCCCCCCCCGAGGCCCTCCGGAGGCAGGAAACAGCCTGTTTCTCTACTTCTGGTGGGCCCAGAAGGCGGAGCTGATTTTGTATGCCCACTGATATGGCTACACACTCCACCTGTGGCATGTGTGCCATAGGTTCGCCATCACGGGTCTATATTGTCTAGAAAATCCACTATATTCAGGCATCTGGAAGCTAGTTAAGTGTATAACATATGGATGAATTGATTAAAAGCACTTGAACAAAAAAAAAGGCAAGATCAGCTTTTAAAAGAATCTTGTGGATTATTTAAGATTACCATAGTGTTAAATGTATACAACAAATAAAATATCTATAGGGCCCAGCATAACCTTATAGGCGTTCCTAAAGACTCTTCTTTTAAAGTCTTCTTAAAAGTATTTAAGTAACAAAACTAAAAAACATAAAACTAAAAAATCATACATTTTATTTTGACAAAAAAAAAATTAAGGCAAAATACATAATTTGAAAAGAATATTATTAAATATAAAGATAACAAAAACATATTTAACAATTATTTTATCAATAACAAGAAATCAGGAAGGTGGCAGAAGCATTAAACACCAGTATTAGTAATAAAAGATTATAAAGAAATGGCCTATACAGCTGCAAAATTATAAAAATGAATTATTCATCTTATCTTTTATTGCATGTTGTTAGGAAAATCTCCGAATACACATTCACATATGAATTTTAAATTGCCCTTGGGAAGGTTTCAGCTGACTCAGAAAGCTTTCTTGTCACTGATATGGTTGATTTGATAAATCTGAGTGATCTTTGTATGATTGGTGCCAACATCTGCATGACCTGGCATGATTGCTGCCAACAGTATTTAAAATATGCCCTAGATAGATAGAATTTATTATGGTGACAGACCAGACTTCAAAACAAAATGTTAGAAACAATGCAGGGTAAGAATGTTACATAAGTAATGCTGCATTCAGCAAAACATGTGAACATTAACTTTCCTCCTGATTTTAAAACTGCAGTGATGAGTGGAATCATCTAGGTAGTTGTATGGAAAACAGTTGTATGGTTGGGCAATATCCTAGTGTAGGTTTCCATTGTGCCCAACAGTTACTGGGAAACTACATGCTAAAGTTGACCTCAAAACCTTAGACATGTAGATCAATTTGGCAAGACTTCCCCCAAATCACCATGGCACCCTTTCAGTCTTTACCAGGAATTCCCACTGCTTTTTGTTTAATGACCTGCACATTTTAGGGTTACAACAGTAAGCTGGATTGCCTAGATTGCTGTCACTAAATGATGCAGTTGGATGATGTCACACTTTACGATCACTTTAGCAATGGCATCCCAATCCCAATTGCCATCATAATTCAAGAACCACCTGTTCATTTTTGGAGTGGCTAGCCAGAAATTACACATAACTGATTCCTTGCCATCCTTCAAAAAGATTTGCTTTGTGATTTTCAGTGCAACTAGGAAGTAGAATGCAATTTATAGAATACTTGGAACTAATCTTACTTGCTTACCAGCCTTTCTTTGTCCTATAGCGGTAAGCATATTGCAACCATTTCATCCACAATATTTTATCCAGTAGAGATATTCAAGCCTGAGAAGTCAGCTTTTTAATAGAGTCCCACTAAAATATGTAGCCTGCTATGATTTTTTTGCTAATTATACATTTATATAACAATTCTTTTAATAAATTTATAATTCATCAGTTTCAAAAATAATAATCCAGTCTTGCTGATATAATTTCTATGAACTTATTTTATTAAGCTCATTTAGCTGCTGATAAATTTACAGTGATTTCACTTTACGGTGCTGCTTGGGCTGTCAGGCTATAATATGTCGTTTTTTCCTTCTCTTTGTGTTTTCCACAAGTGCAGGGTCTGCTTTTTTTGGATCAACCAAATGTTAATCAATTTGTTGCAATTGGAATTGATCAAGTGGCTTGTTGCCCAAGCCTGACAGCATGAGCTAAGAGAAAATAACCCACCCCAAATCGCCCAGCTGTCTTTCATATTTAAGGCAGGACTAGAACTCACAATCTCCTAGTTTCTAGTCTGGTGCCTTAACCATTAGACCATACTGACTCTCTTGCTATAATTCTCAATTCATATTCATTTAAATTCGTAAGAGAGTTAGGAATATTTACAGAACAAGTCAGCATAGTGTTTGACCTCTTAATGTCCCCAGAAAGCATAGTAATGTAATCTCTTATGAAGAAAGCGCAAATAATTCTAAACCCGCTGAAAGTTTTAAGATCAAAGAAATCATAGAGTACTGGTAAGCCACCTGCTTGATTTTTCCAATATAGGTGAATTAATTGAGTTTGAATGAATAAAAAAATGTTTCCCTATTTTGGCTACTAACTTGATTAAAAACAAGATTTAAAATATAATAAAATCAAGATTAGACAGTGCAATGTATATTCTTGAAACCTTGGGTAACCAGGAGAATGAGAACTAATGAAAATATTAATTAAAAAAAAACCAGCAGAAGTTAAATAATTATTCTAATTGAGCCAGGAATTACAGTCATAAGTCATTGCAGTTTTTTAACCTCAAGTACCATCTTTTATATGAACTTACCTGAGGACTTATGGTTGGGTCTGCTCTTTATCCAATGAAAGTACAACAGGCTATTTTTAGTAGTTTCTCCAAAAACTTGACATGTCATCTGGATTTCCCTCCTACTTTTAAGGAGGCTTTGCAGATATAATTCTATAAACATTTCTCCATTTTTACCCTGTTTCATTCATCTACTATGTATTTACAGTAATGTTTTGTGGGTTGCTTGCTTTTTGTGAATCTTTATTAAGATCTCTTTCTTAAAGGATGTACATGAGAATTATTGGATTTAAATTTTTATATGAAAGATTTTGAATAATGGAAAATAGCAAAGTGTAAACCAGTTATACTCAATGTACATGGGTCTCAAATTATTTTCAAGTTGCACAAAACCAATTTCATTATACGCAGAAAATCTGTGTATTCAGAATGTAAAATTGGCCTTTTTGCATAGGAGGAGAAAGTGGGAGTTAAAGAGTTAACTGAACACTCCTTATAATGAAGATAGGACAGAAAACTAAAAAACTGGAGAAAGATGTAAGAGAGAGGCAGAATTTAATTAGCATATATAAAAGAGACACTAGTTGCCTTTGAGACTGAACAGAGTTCTGTGTCTGAAATTATCAATTTGTATATATTATCTATTCATAGAATATTATAGTTAAATAGTTAGAATTATTTATAAATAACTGTTCCTCTAAATAAATGAAAGACAGAATGTAATAATTCTACCCAACATTGAAGATAACATTCCTCAAAGAAAAAAGCTGATAAAAAATAGATAACATTAATGTAAACACTTGTATCATTTTTGGGCAACATGATTATAGCCCAATAATAAATTTGGAATAATTATGCCATTTCTGACTGCAGACTATTGGCAATATACATAAAAATAGTTAATAAAATGCATATGCATATTTAAATAAAGTATTAGAATAAACTATATGAAATATATTTGCTTTTACATCTTTATTGCAGTATATTGCATTGTATGTTTATTATATGAATATACTGGCTTCTGCATTGTGCTCTAAGACTACTTTTGATTCACTGGAATTGAAGCATATGTAGAATAAGTTTATTAAACATGCTGTTTTCTTGACATTGGATGTTTTCGGTTGGTTTTAAATTAAATGACATAAGCCCAAGGCTGTGCTTAACCCGTAATTATACCAATGTCATGTCTTGGAAACACTAGTAGTAGTATATCCCAGTGGAAAAGCATTTTTTCTATACCCAAAGGTTTATGTGTTGACTCATTTCCTTTACCAATATGACAATTTCCTGAACATATTTAATGCTTGGGGCAAGATTATAATATGTTAATGAAATGGATCAGATGGCATTACTAAATCTGTGTATCTATTTTATCAATATGTTAACATGTTTTTCATGGTTTTGAAATTATAACTCTTTTTGAAAATGTAATGTATGTAGTAATACTATCAATTGCACCTAATTAAAGAAATTTTTGTTGGTTAATTTTAAAACATTTACTTTGAATATATTTCCACATGAATAAAATTGATGAATCACAGATTTTATAAATAATTAATCTTGTTAACATTAATACTTTAAAAATGTAGTATATTAAGTTTATGAAAAGATGCTGTAAACTATTTGATTAATATAATATTGCAGTCATACTTAGGGGTACCATATACTGTATAGACTGCAAAAATCTAGGCAGCAGCAAAAGGATACTGAAAACATGGTTTTCAGATGTTGATAGCCCGTATATGATATTACTAGCAATACTAATTGTATGTTTGTATTTTAATTGATTATATATTGCATGTTTTCCTGTAGCACTGAATGTCCACTTGATTTTCACTAACCTTTTGGCATTTCTTTGTTTTTGAAACCATAATATGAGTGTAACAATAGCCTTAACATTTCATAGACTGTATTTGCTTCACTAATCTATGGCCTTTTTTACTAATGCTGCATGGTTGTCCTTCAACCTGTGTATTAGGACGCTGCATTGGGATACTGATCCATCTGTTCTACAACTCCACTCTGATTCCGATCTGGGGTACAGCAGAGTTTTTTTTTTATCTTCCATCTTTATGTAGCAATTGTTTATATATGTTCAAAGTAAGATTCTTAAAAGTAACGTGTGAAACCATTTTTCTTGTGATTAGGTAAAGATATTAAGCAATAATATAGTGTTGAATTTGTTAATCAGCAGTTTTTAGAATACATTTCCAAACAGTATAAAACTAGAAAATACGTGTTTGGAAAAACTGACTAACATAATTAAAAAAAAAAAACTGTAAATCCAACATAAATTACAATTCTGGATTGTCACTTTTGAATTTACATACAGCACTTTAAGTTTTACTTATTTACTAAATGTTTCTAGATTTTATAAAAAAATGATTACCTTTTGATATTATTAACAAAGTATGAATCTACAAATACCAGTAGTTTGCCTGTTCACAAACCTATAGTACGGGAATTAAATTGGCCTATCATATAGGAGTAAAAAATAAACGTGAACTGCAGTGGGGAGAGTATAATATAAATATGAAACTTTATTACAGTAGATGGAATAGAACAGGACTATTGGGCTTTTCTACATTTTTGAGAAGCATAGGTACATTATGGCCAGAATACAGTAGGCATATATTCAGATGCTTAATGGGAACTATCTCAGGATATATTATGATAGTGCAGTACTTTGGATTTAGTTTAGAAGAGGAACTTTTTAGGAATGCAAACATGACTCTTATCTGCAGCTCCTTAAAGATGTCTGGTCTGTTTCTATGATTATACAGCTGTAGCAGAAGCCCCCTCCCCCCTCAATAGTTATATGTTTCTTTGCTTCCGGAGCACCTCTTTCAAATCAAATCTGTTCATTCCTATCATGAAGTTCTTCAGGTGAATAGAATAGAATAGAATAGAATAGAATAGAATAGAATAGAATAGAATAGAATAGAATAGAATAGAATAGAATAGAATAGAATAGAATAGAATAGAACAGAACAGAACAGAACAGAACAGAACAGAACAGAACAGAACAGAACAGAATTCTTTATTGGCCAAGTGTGACACAAGGAATTTGGTTTTGGTGCATATACTCTCAGTGTACATAATAATAAAATATACATTCATCACGAATCATAAGGTACAACACTTAATGGTAGTCATAGGGTACAAATAAGCATTTCATGAGTCTCTAATTCAAAAGTCATTGCACAATGGTATCTTTCAACATGATAAGATACTTTATAAGTTAAATTATAGTTCTACTGAGTTAACATATAAAACACATGCTCTATATTAGATTGGATCTAGACTTGCACATTATTGTTATTATTAGCATTTATATATGGCAGAATAATAGAGAAAATAATCTAGTAAAAGAAATCAGTTATCCTGTAGTGATGTTTTGGAATTCTTTGGAGGGTTTTTGAGAGTATGGGGCTGTACATGACCATCCTGTTCATAAAATTCTGGAATGAATCCATTTTATTTACTTTTAATAGCAAATTATCCAAAATCCACTAAAATTTATGTCATCTGAAACAGTATAAGAAATTGTGATCCATTTTAGTTTAGTTCTATTAATTTTCTGTCAAATTTTCACATAGAAGTTCTCCATAGAATACTTGTGTTGGGCAGGGTGTTGTAAACACATTCCTTATAATGTTCCACTTCATTTTCTTTAGACGTGGACCTATTAAACTTGCAATGTCCAAAATTACTCAAGTTGACTTTCCTCCTCGAGAAATGGTCACATATACAAAGGAGACCCAAACTCCAGTTATGACTCAGCCTAAAGAAGGTAAATATAAATTTCACTCTTACTGTTTCCTTATACATAAAGAACATCTTTCTATATGAAAAGACTTATATGTGACAAGGTAAGTGTCTTAAACCTTGATACAAAAAATAAATTCAATACTTTTATTGTGGAAAATATTAAAAAATATTTGCAGAAAGGAAAACAATTCTGTCAAGAAATTTAAATTGGCATAGAATTCTGGCTTATTTCTTAAGTGCTCTTACCTTCATTTGATATTTTGATAAAGTATCATATACAGGTCTTAGAGAAATAAGGCTTTGCAGAGATTTTTTTTAACATAAAATAAATTGCAGAACCAGTTATAGTCACAAAGGCAACAAAAGGTACATTTATAGACAAATAAGTGGCCATACAGAATTATAGCTTTAAAGTTTTTTGAAAAGTTAGCATATTTGGAACATGCAAAGTGGCTTTATATTTTGACACTGGGATACACTGTGGCAAAAACTAAAAACAAAACCCCTGCAACTGTGTCCCCAGACTGTTTTCTAGGTTTCCTCCTCCACTGAAGCCTAGCATTCCCTGCATGTTAAAAATGTGTTCTAGAAGACTGGGTAACTATCTAGAACATGGGTGTCAAAACTCGTGGCATCACATTGCCCTCACGTGACATATTGCAACATTTTTTCCCTTCGCAAAGCTGGGGTGGGCATGGCCTGTGCGTGATGCATCCAGCCTATGGGCTGCCAGTCTGGAAGAAATTGGATGGTATGAGAGTGAGGTCCAACCATAATTGCCTCATCATTTTTTCTAGTTTGTATGCATAACAATATTTACTTAATATTTACTTGTGACAAAGAACAGATTCTCTCTCTCTCTCTCTCCCTCCCTCCCTCAAGGCAGAAAACATACCTAATATTCTTGCCTACCATTTTTCCACAACAAACCTTTGGGGGGGGGGGGTTGTTGGGCTGAGAGAGAGTAATTGGCCCAAAGTCACCCAGTCAGCTTTTATACCTAAGCCGGGGGGGGGGGGGGGGGTTTAAAACTCAAAATCTCCTGGTTTCTAGGCCAACATCTTAATCATTGTAATAAACTAGCTTTGTTATAATTAACAATTATTTCCCTATATAAGTGGTCCTCAGTTAACAATCACTTGTTCTGCATCTGTTCAAACAACAGCACTGAACAAGTGATACTTATGATGGTTTTTGAAGATCTGGTAGGTGCAGTATCCATGCAGTCACGTGATTATGATTTGAGCCTTCTACCTTCCCACAAGCGGAGTTGGTGGAGAAGCCAGCAGGAAATCAGAAGTTGTAGTCACATGAAGTCCTCGTTTAATGACCCACAATGATTAACTTAACAATGGTAAGATAGGACAGCTTTGCTAAGCAACATGTTCATGTGATATCACACTTTACAACTGCATTGCTTAGTGGCAGAGGTTCTTATCCCAGTTATTTTTGTTAAGTGAGGACTATTGGCAATTGTTTTCTGTTTTTTGTCGTAGATAAACAGAGCCAATTTTTATGTACATGTACTGATGTAGACAAAATTCCATAGGTGGGGAAAGGTTTATGAGGGTTATGGTTGGATCTCCATATACTTGAAGAGAAAAATGGACATTGGCAACAGATTCATAGTGCATTGGTATGGTTAGGAGAGCGCTGACTATTGAGTGGGGAGGCTCAAATAGTCAGCGCTCTCCTAACTATACCGATGCATACCGATATTTACATTTTGTGGTAAAATACGTGGCAAAATCCCATGGGGAGAAACCCATTTAGGGTTAGGTCAGCATGGAGTAAGAGAGGAAATTGGACATAGATGTGTATAAATATTTAGAATGATTGTTTGTTGGCCTTTTAATTATCAAGTAGTCTGGTTAGACTGTCAATATGGATTACAAATCCTACTTTAAGATAAAAAACACTTTTATTTTTCTTCTGTTCAATTGTGCTCAGTTCTTGGAGACTGCCTGGACAAGTCCCTGAACCCTGCAAGGTTTTTCAGAAATGGTTTGAAATTGCCTCCTTCCTAGGGCTGAGAGAAAGTGACTGGCCCAGGGTCACCCAGCTGGCTTCATGTCCCAGGTGGGACTAGAGTACATGGTCTCCTGATTTCTAGCCTGATGCCTTAACCACTATACCAAACTTGCCCTCAAATATGACTTAACTTTATATTAAAGACTTATACTAAAAGGTGTTCTGCAGAATATAGTTTTTGTGCTATATATCCTATTTATTCATTTATGCGTTATTTATGTATTCCTGTTAGATTAAGAACTGGGGAGGGGGGAAATCTAGAAGGCAGTATAAACTTCTTCCTAACTATTGGTTACAGGGACTTTGGGTCAAACTCAGTTTAAGAATTAAAGTGGAAAAGAAGTAACTTAAAGTATCTTGCATTCTATAAAAAGCAAAAAATTAATTTAAAATAAAGAAGTAACAGGAGATCCAATCATAAAGGAAGGAAGGAAAATTACCTTTCTTGGGAAGAAGGAAGGGAAGGTTCTGTTTTGAATCTTCAAGTTTTCCCAGAATAGCTTATGAACTTTTCAGCAGAAGCTGTAGGAAGCAGACTTGATGCTCAAAAGGCATATGATGCATGCCCGTTGCATTGGTCTGCTTGAAAAATTGTCTATAAAAGCAAAGATGTCTCTTTTTTAGAATCTGAAAATGATTAGGAAGTTGTAAAGACTTGGTTCATTATGATCTTTTCATTCTTAATATTTTCAGGTTTTAACAATTAGAAAACAATAACTCCATAATTGCTCTATATTATAGCTCTATATTATATATACTTGAGCTTCCATTTCTGGATGTATTGCTCAGTACGAAAGTACTAAATTATTACCTATACTTAATTCTTACAATGTTCCCATAACAAAATAATATATCTGGACAGAATATTCTGTGTTAATAATTGTAATTTCCAGTCTTGTACTGTATTGTGTATGTAAGACACAGTAGACCTCTGATATGAATAAATAGTCCCAGAACATGGGGAAAATAAAAGTCACCATACATAGTCATTTTTCTTAATTGCCTGTGCAATGTTTTGTAGTAGTATTGATCAAGCTTAAGATTCAATAAAATATTAGTCTCACATGTTTCTATGCTTCTTTCCTGTAAGAAAAAAGTATACAAACGAAAAGTAGTCAAGTTAACACATAAGTTAGAGGCTTGATTGTTGATGTGTATCTTCAAAGTGACTTCAGATTGCCTGTCTGTTATTCCCCAATACAAGTAACAATCAGTTAGCTTCCATTGAATGAAAGCTTGTCGTTATCTTGCAGTGTTACTGATAGGTGTCACTGTCAGGACTTTGATGCATAGGATTTTTAATAGAATGAGAAAAGGAAGGTAAGCAGGGATGCAAATGAGGCCTCTAACAGAGTAGTGAATCTAACCATATTATCTCAACTTGGTGCTTTAATATTGTCAAACTTTAATCATTTGAAAAATTCTAGATCTATATGTAATACAAAAAGATTTGACTAGGATACTTCCTTCTACTATTTTTAAGAAGTATCTGCCAAAAACAAAATAAAACAGATAGTAAATGTGATCTGAAGACACTTCGGCTTAACAAAAGACACCCATTTCACAGATGATTTAACTTTGATTAACCTACACTGCAACAACAGACCACGCAGACAACTGGAACTTCATTCTCTTGAAGTCATTGCAAGGCGCTGTCTAATTTACAGCCTGCTTTTCTTCTCATCTCAACAAAATACAGCACAATTTTGATGTTAACACTAAGTAAAAATTCACTGGTTCATTTACCATTCATTGAGAAGAGATTTGGCATTTTAAAAGTAACTGCTACTTTTACAGATTTTTAATGCTTGCCTTGTAACCTTAGATCCTCTGTCAAGAAAAAACATAGTAACCACTTAGTATATTGTAATAAATATTCATCAGTAAAATGATTTGACATGTAGTTTTACTCCTCATTGTTATGTTCTTGCGTGGCAGTGTAGCTTTTAATGTGAAATAAATAAAGCATTTCTGCATCATTGGGGTAAATCTTGAATGCTGAATAATAAAAGAGATTACAGCAATGAAATAAAAGAGCTGGACATTTTCTCAAAATATTTTCAGGGCCTATTCCAGAATGGTACAGCTGGTGCATATATATTAGATTGTAAGCAATACTGTTTAACTTTCGCTGCTGTTCAATATCCTGATTTTAATTCATACATAATACTGTATTTGTAAGATCTTGCACATAAAATATTAGTCATTAAAATTGCCATTTTAAATAGTACATTCTGTGGGACATATATATATTGGCAAGAAAAGAATAAACCTGTATGACAATTTAATTATAAAGTTTGGATAATTTTGCATCTTTATTCTGTGGTCTGTTTTTAGTAGAACCATTGGTTATATGGAGCTTTATTGAGAAGCAAACAAAAACAGATACTTATACCTGCATTTGAAGAACTTAAAAAAAAAAAAGGAAGATGAAGTGAGATCAATAAGGGAAAGATTTTGTGTTTATTGATATATGAATAGGCTTTCTTTCAGCAAGGCGAGAAATTAAAGTAGAATTAAAAGGCTTCACAAAACAGGATGTTGGAAGGAATGAGATATCTACATTACGAAAGAATATTACAGTATGAACCATAATGCATACATTAATATATATACCCAAAAGAAAGGGTATGTTTATTTAAGAGAGCAGGTATCATTTGGATACTAAGGTGACAAAGCTGGAGAAGTAAATTTTATAGACCAGTATATATTGAGGGAAAAATTATGTAGGTCTATATTTTCACAGTGTTGTACAGGATTAAGCAGTTTAATTTGGCAATGGGTTGAATACAAGGAACAAAGGCAGAAGCAGCAGGAATTTCAGATGTGCTTGCCATTATGCCACCACAACTGCATCATTTAGGCTAGTGCGTAATAGACAGAAACCTCATCTCTTGGATCACAGTGATGTTTAAAAGCATCAGGCACTGCTTGAAGTACTTCAAAGGATCTGTGTACTATTGGGTAAAAAGCAGGAATAGGACTTTTGACAGCTAGAGAATTTTCTGGTCACATAGTTAGCCCAAATTTGTTGACCTACAGAAGGATGATTTAGAAAAAGCTATGACTTCTTGCCAGAATAGTAGATTGTTCTAAAATAAATACCATGTGTGGCTGTATATTGAAGTGAATTTATAATTCTGCTGATTTGTTTGCATATCAGCTTAAATTTAAACTACTAAGGAATAAACTATTGGATATCCACTTAGTTCTCTTAAATCCTTTTCTAATATGCTATTAAGTGATAAAATGTAAGATTAACAGGATTAAAGTTTGTTATTTATTTAGTGGCGTTTGCATATATCTTAAAAATAAGTATTAAACTGAGATGAAAAATTGCTCCAGTGCTTGCAAGTGTATTTATGTAATTGCGGTAATACCATTTCTAGGGCTGAGATTCAGTAATAGTTATTCCTAAGCATTGACAGTAAATAAAGAATAAGGACGAGGAGGAATTTGTTTATACATCTGTCATCTACACTAAAAATGTGAAAAGGGAGGAGCAATTGATTATCAGATTTCATCTCTAATATATGTAAATAACCAGATCGCTTGGGCAGTAGTAGAGAGCTGCCCATCTGCTTTTGACAAGGATTTGACTTCTATCACAGAAAATGGTACTTAGAATTAAAATGGAATGGCAGAGCAAGGAAGCTGAGATTTAACTTCTAAATGTATGGAATTTGAGCTTTGAACAACTTATAAAGGTCAAGGGGGCATTCCTGTTCTGAAGTCACAGTGGCATTGTTTGCTGTAGCGTGTCTACATACAAAAAGAGAAGTCCACACTTAATTCAACCAAATTATTTAATCTAGTCATTGCTTTGTAATTTGCTATTCACAATCTCTCATTATTAAGCGAAAATTATGCATTTATCAATTTTCTCTTCCCCAATGCTTGGGTGGAAATCTAGTCTCTTGTTTGGGGCACATGGCATGGAATTGTTCTGTTATCCAGTTTTCTGATTAATAGTCCATTGTATGTACAAATTCATCTAAAAAGGAGCAGTGTCTTTCCTTTTCTCTGTGTGATTATTTTGTCCAAAAAAGCTTTCATTTTTTTTAAGTAGCACAAAAGCTGTAATTGGCAGGCTTTGTAAGGAAATGTCAATGTGCAAGAGAGTGGAGATCACTAAGAATTCTTTTACGCGTTCTTTCCCCTTTGCACCACCGCCTCCTCAGCAGGGTCACTGAGATCACTAGCTTTTCTTGAAATGGCCATTTTCACTGGCAGGTGCATTATACCCTGTATTTTCAGATTGTTTTTCCATTCTGAATGTTTGGCAGGTTGATTGCTCTGGCTGCATTGACGGAGAAAGGGCTGACAAATGTGGTTGGGCTGGTTGAAAAGACAGTGATTACTGTTTTCCTTTGTGGCTGATTGAGGCCCTTGAAAGGAAAGATTTTAACCTTCACCATTTGGTTCAGAAGTATGAGCATATATTGAAATTGTTCATGCCATTTATCCTAGTTCTGTAAACTTGTCAGAACGTAAAAATTGCTCGATTTCATATAATGTGGGATTGGCATACGTCATTATCATTTTGATTAAGTTGGAGTTTGTATTATTGTATACATTATATAGTGTTATTTAAGACATTTGTTCCTTCAGGTATAGATTTATATTTTTATTGACTAAACTAGAGTTAGAAAGATTTTTTTTTCCAGATTTTGCTTCAGCCTATCACTATGTGTGTGGCTTGGCAGCTGGTAGAGCCTACAAGCTGTATTTTTGTTTGCAGGGTAAAGGCTTGTCTCTGGACCTCCTGGAGAGTTGGTAATTGCACAGACTTGCCATTGGAGAAAAAACATAATTGGAAGCAGTCAAGCAGAAAAATGCTGTGCCATCCCATTGCCACCTCAGAGCGGGGATAGACAATCCCAGCAATACCATCTGGTTGCTGCTGTCTAGTCAGCTGGTCTGGCTGCTGGGACCATAGCTTGGCAGCTGGTTTGTACCTCTTGACCACTCTTCCCTCTCCCCCTCCCCCATGACTTTGAACATGGGTCAGGGGAATGGCTGTAACAAATAAAGCCCTGTTGAATCTTGCCTCATTACTTGCAAGAAGGCAGGATGCAGGTTTCTGTGTCCATTCTCTTCTAGACAGATGACATAGCTGGTTAACGAATGAAATAAGTATTTTAAGAAAGATTTGAGAAGCAGAACAAAAAGAGGCAGGAAACATATTCTACAACACCACATTGCTCTTTTTAAATTTTCTAGGGGCTTGTACTATTTACAAAATGTAACAATGCAAAAAATGCTACATATATTCTCAGTATTTCAAAGTGTCAACACTTACTATTTGTTGCAATTAAGGAAACAGCATTCTACTTTTAAAATGCTCATTGGTAAACATCATAATGATAATGTGACTTGCAGTTAAAATGATAGGGAAAAAAGATAATCTCTCTTGCTATTGTTTTAGCAAAAATTGCCTTTCCAGCTAGCATCATCAAAACTAAAGTAACATCTTTCCTTTATGAAAAAGTTTTTGTTATTGAATCTATATCTAAATAAAGCTATGGTTCTGAGAGCTATGTTAAGATGCTTGATTTTCATTATTCTATATGTCAACATGTAGCGTAAAATCACATGGATTCGTCTGCAGTGACAAAGCTGGATAGAAGTTAAGAATTTAAAGTGAAAATCTCTGAAAAGCTACCCTGTACTGTATGTTTAGTTCTGATGCTGTGTTAGAAAAATCACTAAAGTTTACTGACAGTGACAGTATATTTGACTGATTATTTTTTTCGTTATTTAATAAATGTAATCCCAGATTACAATTGGCCAAGCAATTATTGACAACTTTCCTCTTTACAGATGAGGAAGATGAAGATGATGTAGTTATACAAAAACCACCAGTTGAACCTGAGGAAGAAAGCATTTTGAAAAAGGAGGAAGAGGAGGAAGGTATAAACATTTTATTTCTTTACATCCATTCATATGCCATTTATTCTAATACCTCTGGGTGATTTTCAGTATATAAAGCTAGAACTATCCTTAAATACTAAAACAAGAAACAATTAACTATCATAAATAAAAACTAATACTGCTAACAGGAAGTTCTCCCTACTTCAGTATTCTCTTAAAGAGTGCTATGTTCCTCATTTTTAATAATATGAAGGAGGAAGCATATCAAGGTGTTAGTTATCACCTTTAAAGTGCTCCATGACTTAGGACCTGGGTACCTACGAGACCGTCTTTGCCACCAATAGCCTCCCACCGACCAGTTCGTTCTCACAGGGAGGGACTACTCAGGGTACCGTCAGTCAAATTATGTCGACTGGCGACTCCCAGGGGGAGGGCCTTCTCTGTGAGGGCTCCAACCCTTTGGAATGAACTGCCCCCAGAGATACGGAATATCCCTGATCTCCATGCTTTCCGCTGTGCCCTCAAGACCCTGATGTTCCAACAGGCGGGGCTAAACATATGAACATGTGAATGATTTTTTAAATATGATCTAATTCTGTGTTTTATTTAATTGACCAAACTTAAGTAATAATTTTAATTAGCAATTTTATGATGTTTGTGTGTCTATATTTTTCTTGACTGTACACCGCCTTGAGTCCTACGGGAGAAAGGTGGTATAGAAATATAATAATAAATAAATATCTGACTCAAATTTCTGTTTTCATTTTGTTGTGTATGTTTCTTTTTACTGTATAAAATTTGTATTTATTAAAGATTAAAGGTTAAAAAGCATTGAATAAAATTGCAGCTGTTCATCACTGTAGAAAATCTTAAACCCACACACACTAATATTCTAATCATTAAAATATATTCATTTTAGTCTCTTGGTTATAAGTCACATTCCAAATCTCTCTCCACAGTTGCCCCACATGAACTAACAGAAGAAGAAAAGCAACAAATTTTGCATTCCGAAGAGTTTTTGAGCTTCTTTGATCATTCTACAAGAATTGTAGAAAGAGCTCTTTCTGAGCAAATTAATATTTTCTTTGACTACAGTGGCCGGGACTTAGAAGATAAAGAAGGGTAATATGGGAATTTCTAAAATACGTTACTCCATTTGTTTTAATTTTACTGGAAATGATCCTAAGTCCGCCCTCTTCTATTGTTTTATTTTTTTCCAGAGAAATTCAGGCAGGAGCTAAACTGTCCTTAAACAGACAGTTTTTTGATGAACGTTGGTCAAAGCATCGTGTTGTTAGTTGCTTGGACTGGTCATCTCAGGTAACTTTACTTAATCTAATAAATCTTCCCTAGTAGATATTATTTTCCTTACTCTCTTGTCAAAATAGATTTCCAAGAAATAAAGTGGTGTTTAGTAACTTAATTTGGATTTATTTTAATGTGTCTTATTTAAAGCAAGTAACAGAGAATCTTTTATTTTTTTTATCTAGTACCCAGAGTTGTTAGTAGCATCTTATAACAACAATGAAGATGCTCCTCATGAGCCTGATGGAGTGGCCCTTGTCTGGAATATGAAATATAAGAAAACAACTCCAGAATATGTCTTTCACTGCCAGGTAATGCAAGTTCTTATCTTGCAGGTTAAAGATTTTGTATTAGTGAAAGTGGACAAGACTTGCCTTTTAATTATCAGCATAATGATTTAATTGAGGAGACATGAACTTCAAATGTAACCCATTCTAAACACATGTTGATATCTGAAGGATCTAACTATCTTCTTTTTAGCATAATGTGCGTTATTTAAACTTACACAACCTCATACTGTGTAAAAGATGACATGACGTTCTGTGCATTAAGTACAGAATCATTAAATAAGATACCATTACAGCATTTATCATTTAAAATACATAATCACATCTCAACCCAATTTGTATATTGAAAACAAATATACATAGCCTAAAATTTAAGGGAAATAAAATTAATAAAGTTGAAATAAATTAATAATAAATTATTTCAACTTAAAAATGATCTAATGTAGATACAAATTGGCCTCAGTATAGGTTACTGTAAAATATTTATTTCAAGTCAATTTATATGACTACCCATCTCCCAAATGCAAGTCTGAGCAGCTAATGAAACAACTAGTGAAATAATAAATGTAAGACATAGGTAAGATAATATGACAGCTGAGAAAACCAGAACAAACTCATCTGGGCTCAACTATCTTCCTGACCCCCGTGCTTAAGAAAGTAGCCTTAAGCATAATAATGAAGTTTCATTTCTCTGTATTATATATTTAATATGGTATAACATTTCATAGGTTAAAAGATGATCCATTAATGTGTCCTTTTTCTGATATAGTCATTCCTGAAGTCATTTAGGAAATATTTCTAGTAAACAGTCATATTCAGAAATAACATTTACATTCTTTTTTCACTTTACAGTCAGCTGTTATGTCTGCTACATTTGCAAAATTTCATCCAAATTTGGTGGTTGGTGGCACATACTCTGGACAAATTGTGCTCTGGGATAACCGTAGCAATAAGCGAACACCAGTTCAGAGAACTCCCCTTTCAGCTGCTGCTCACACGGTAGGGAATGGAAGATCCATATATCTTCATCACCCAATCTCCTTTCAGGATAAACAGTGTTGTGCAAAGTGCACAGAAAGAGTGTGAAGTAGTGACAAAAGAAACTAAGGCAAGACATAAGAAAAAATTACTGATTTATTCAGTAATCTAGGATAGTGTTGGCTTAGAGCATGATGGGATAAAATTCAGAATATGTGAAGAAAAAAGTATTATAACATTCAAGAAATGAGTGTTTTATATAAAAGATACTATAATCCTATTTGAATTAAACTTTTTGCTGAAAGGATCAATTCACCATTTCACATTACTTGGTTCTATGGTATTTCCTGTCATCTATATTTGTCTCTCTCCAGGTTCCAAGGTCTCTGAATTTTTCATTATGAACAGGAGATCATATCTTTCTTGTTCCTTAGCTCTCACTTTCCCTTGAGAAGCACATTTTCCCTGCTGGGAAAACATGTATGCCTGAAATGAAAGTATTAGCTATTCATATTTTCAAAATCTAGACTGTCTGGTCATTCCTTTGCTCTGTGCTTAGGAATGTTGATAGGTAGACCATGCTTTTACATCACTATAACTCTTCGTTCTATTTCCTTCTATTTTTCTTTTGTTCCATTTTTATTAATGTTCAGTCTTTCTTTTGTCATAACTTCGCCTCCTAATGTTGGCATATAGGAAGTATTCGCTTACTGACCACTCATTCAGCAGTTGTTCAAAATTACAAGGGTGCTGAAAAATAACTTTAAAGCTAATTTGCGATCATTTGCAACCCTTTGCAGCATCTCTCAATCACATCATTGCCATTACTATAAGTAGGCTTTGTCACGCACCTCACCTTTGGATTTTTTCCTCCACACACCTCCATGCACCCCCCCCAAGAGAAGAGAGATTGGAGTGGAAAGGATTACAAGAGAATAACTATTCGCCCTTCTAAATATCAAAAGCAATGCAATTTTGCTGGCACTGGGAAAGGATCAGGCAAAGATATCTTGATTGCCTAAAGAAATCAATTGTTTCCCCCACCCCACCTCATAGAGCAGAGAGATTGGAGAGGAAGAGATTTCAAGAGAGTACTGTAAATTATTTGCATAGTGCCCCCATGGCTCCCAGCCCTGGGCTGCCATGCAGTCACATTGCTTTCAATGTGTACAAGATAGTAAACAGGCATTCAAGCATTCTGAAGGGCAGGGGAGTGGTTAACAGGCAAACAAAAGCCAAAGACTGAATAGTCTTGTCTTTTTCCAGCTTGAAAGAGCAGTCACAGTCACATAATTTCCCATTTTGTGTCAGAGTTGCTGGTCCCAATTAGGATCAGTAAGTGAGGACTACCTGTATTTCAAGAATGAACCTTTAATCCTTCCTGTACCAGCACTGGTTTTTGTACTTTTAGTGAAATGTCTAATCTTGCAGGATTGCTAAGCAACCAAATCTAGATCTTAGTTTCTGGGGAAGGTCTGATGATTAGCTGTAGAAAACAATGGGTTGTTAAGTCCCTGGATATCTTTCTTGTCCTTCTTGCCTGATCATTTAAAATTTAGATTTGCATTTATTTGAAGATATCTTAAATTTCCATAGAAGCTTTGTTAAACTGTGCTATATGATTTTTACTTTAGCATCCTGTATATTGTGTAAATGTTGTGGGGACACAGAATGCCCATAACCTTATCAGCATTTCTACTGATGGGAAGATTTGCTCATGGAGCCTGGATATGCTATCACAGCCGCAGGTATATTTTCTATTAAATATGTCAAACATTTATTGTTATATCTGTTTCAGGAAAGTTCAGCAGATAAAATATATGCTACTGCAGTATGAAATGTCTGATATCCCAGTCCCATATATGTAAAGATTCTTTTTTGAATTCTGAGCGTTGGCATGCAGTTTAACGTAGTATAGAATTTGTACTGAGGATTTTTCAGTTCACATGCTTATTTAAATATAGAAACTCATTAAATGATTTTAAGTGATAAACTTTCGGTCTAAATTATGTCACAGACCATCTGAAAAATAGTGAGAAATATGTAGTACATTTGTCTTACTGTAGATATTAATAAAATATATATTCCATAGGTTGAGAAAAAAATCCTACATTGTCATCATGTACTCTATGTTGTTTTGTTGTGTTAAATACTTTCAGCTGGATAATATGAATAAAGCAAGTATATAGAATAAAAATGTTTTGTAGAAGGCTAGTATCAGAAATACTCCCTGATCTTAGCAGAAAAGTTGTTTTGGAAAACAGAAAACGGAAATATGATATCATTCTCTCCAGGATAGCATGGAGTTAGTTCATAAGCAATCCAAAGCTGTTGCTGTCACTTCTATGTCTTTCCCTGTTGGAGATGTCAACAACTTTGTCGTTGGAAGTGAAGAGGGCTCTGTCTACACAGCATGTCGCCATGGCAGGTGATTAGACCCTGGGATTTCATTTTTTCAGCCACAAGGTGTTGCATCTTGGGTCATACTTTAAGAAACATTAATTTTGGGATTGCTGGTCTTTAATTGTCATAGGATGATTATATATTGTACTTCTCTAAAAGAAATTGTAAGAATTTTAAAAGAGTATTTAATAATTAAAACTCTCAATTAACTTCAGCATCTCTTTTTTTTCTAGATGAGAATAGCTTTTGAGCGTTGATGTGGAATACGCTGATTAATCAAATTTGGAGGGGAATTGTGGCAGAATATCCTAAATTCTTGCTTTTGTTGATAATTATATAGTACTATCACGCACCAGTCATAAATTGGGCAGCTTGTCTCCTGCTGTTCAATCTGTTTTGAAATTGTATAGCTGTAGCTTATCTATTGCTTTCTTAAATGAAATTGAGACGCCGGTCTCTTCTCAAACGCACATCAGCCCATGCTGTACAGTGCTTTGGGTTAGAACTAACCAAAATTGGTAGTTTGCTCTGAAACGGTTGAGGGTTTATCATCCCTGATTTCAGACTGAAAATTACCCAAGGAGGAAATGCATCTCTTGGGAAGCTTGATGTTTCTTGGAAGACAATAATGTCTTAATTTTTGTGGCCCAAATATTTAGTTGGAGTTTGAAAAAATAATACAGCTATCTAGGATATGTAGTATTTTGTAAACATTATCTTTCAAAGCATATGTCTAGCTATTTAATTAATACAGTTTTTTATTTATAGTGGTACTGAGCTTAATTCAGTTCCATGGAATATGCAATATTGTAGAAATAATTTGTGATATACTTTGTGAATTGTTAAATAGTACTTTGTATCTAGAGTTTTGCATCAGTATTTTTTTCTTTTTAGAGTAAATTTCTTTCTCCTTTGTATGCATTTTAAACAGCAAAGCTGGAATCAGTGAGATGTTTGAAGGCCACCAAGGGCCCATTACAGGTATCCATTGCCATGCAGCAGTTGGACCTGTAGACTTTTCACATCTATTTGTAACTTCTTCTTTTGACTGGACTGTAAAGCTTTGGACAACTAAGGTATCAGTAGATAAATATACACAATCTTGACCTGTATAAAAACCCATTTTATGGAAATTGCCTGTGTAGAACTAAGTTTTCTGTCAAGAAGCTTCATTGAAGCATCCATGTTTTAAATCATCAGTTCCATAATACAGTATATGATTGTAATATAAGAGTAAAACGTGTACAGATCAGATCTATCCATTACTCAGCCTTCTTATATTGGCTGAAGTAATTCTCATAAATATAGATCCCTATAACCATTGTAGCGGTTTAAAGTTGCTATTAGTATGTTATGTTTACATTATAGTGTATAACAGCGTTACATAGACACTACATGTACACACACAAAATGAAATAGTGGTATCTTGTTTGTTTCATGAATATTATAGAATTCTGCATGATGAAAGTTCTAATAATAGAATAACAGAGTTGGAAGGAACCTTGGAGGTCTTCTAGTCCACACACACACACACCCCACTCAAGCTGGAAACCCTGTACCATTTCAGACAAATGGTTGTCCAAGCTCTTCTTAAAATCTGTTCTGTGTTATCTCTGAGGAAATTAAAATTTGTAGCTTTATTAATGTCTAATGTTATTGTTAAAATTACATTTTTTGTTGTTAGTTGCGAAGTTGTGTCCGACCCATCGCGACCCCATGGACAATGTTCCTCCAGGCCTTCCTATCCTCTACCATCCTCTGGAGTCCATTTAAGCTCACACCGACTGCTTCAGTGACTCCATCCAGCCACCTCATTCTCTGTCGTCCCCTTCTTCTTTTGCCCTCAATCTTTCCCAGCATTAGGCTCTTCTCCAGTGAATCCTTCCTTCTCATTAGGTGGCCAAAATATTTGAGTTTCATCTTCAGGATCTGGCCTTCTAAAAAGCAGTCAGGGTTGATCTCCTCTAGGACTGACTGGTTTGATCACCTTGTAGTCCAAGGGACTCACTCACAGGAGTTTTTTCCAGCACCATAGTTCAAAGGCCTCAATTATTTGGCGCTCAGCCTTTCATATTAAAATTACATTACTACATTTATATAATCTAATTTAGTATAAATCTCAAAAATGACTCAGTATTTTTTCAAATTGAGATACTTCAAGCTTTTACTTAAACTTTGCCACTAAAAGAATTACTTGATGACACATAATGAATCAACAATCAAAAGACAAAACATAGCTAAACTTTGCTTTGATGTCCTCAGGATTAAATGCAAGCATTCAGTGGTAGACTGCCTTCACCCAGAGGTTCATTTTGTTCCCAGACTCATTTCTGCAACCAACAAATTGTGTTACAGATAGTCAGTTCTCAGCATTGTACTTTTTTTTTCTAATTTGAGTACTAAAAGATGTGTTATTAACTCCACTACCTCCAAAATACACAAAAAGGATTCAGTATTCCATATCCTCTCTGCTGACCATGAACTATCCTTTGGTCCTGAAGCCAGAAAACATAGTTTAATAATAGCAAATCCTGTCTATCACAAATCTTGCCACCGTGCCTTAATTATTTTTGTTTCGGTAATTGCAAGATATATTAATACTAAATTATTTTTTTCCTAGAACAACAAGCCTCTATATTCATTTGAAGACAACTCAGATTATGTTTATGATGTGATGTGGTCACCCACTCACCCTGCCCTCTTTGCTTGTGTAGATGGAATGGGAAGACTTGATCTGTGGAATCTTAACAATGATACTGAGGTAAAGCAAAATTGGTTTGGTATCCCAAGACTGCATGGTAATTGAGCATATATTCAGAAAAATATGTTAAAAAGTCATACATTTATTTTATCTTCTTTGGCTCTTCACCTAATTACCTCACAAAGAGGTCTTTAAGCTAAACCTTTAATGTTGTAACTGGCTAATTTTTCATGAAATCAGTTGATTTGGATTATCTTGATCCTTTTCTGTTAGGATACAGACTAGGTATGGGACGGAAACAGTACTAGTCCTGCTTTTGGAAGATCTCTTGTGTGGAGGGGATGGGGTAGTGCATCCATCCATGCCATTCTTGACCTCTCAGAGACTCTTGATCCCCTCAACCATGTTATCTTTCTGGATCAGCTCAGACGGCTGGGGTGGGTGGCGTGGTGTGCTGATTTGCTTCGTTCCTTTGGGGTCAATCCGATTTGGTAATAATTAGGAAGAAAAGGTCCTATTGTCAGCCCCAACTATGTGGGATGGCACAAGATGGTGCTTTCTCTTTTCCTTTTTAACATCTATATGAGGCCACTGGGTGAGTTAATCCATTGCCATGTGTACCAATTGTACATCTCTGCCCCTGGAAAATTAAGTGATGTCATGACCCTGTTATCCTAGTGCCTTAAGACTGCAAAAGTCTGGATGGGGAACAATAGGCTTCAACTGAACCTTGGCAAGGCTGAATGGTTTTGGTTTTTGGGGCCTTCTGATTCCAGGACTATGCCACCTTTGGTGCTAGATGTAGTTGCACTATCTCAGACAGGCTCTGTGTGCAACCTATAGATTCACAACTCCTGCTTGGTAAACAGATTACACTCATGGCTAGAAAGCTCTTTGTGCAGCTTCGTCTTGTGCACCAGCTGTGCCCATTCCTGAATCAGGAGACCCTGCTTACAATCACTCTTTCCCTAATCACTTTCAGATTGGACTACTACAATGGGCTTTACATGGGGCTGCCCTTGGAGAATATCTGGAAGCTTCAACTAGTTTAGCATGCAAGGGTGTGGGCAATTATGTGCACTCCTGCAGCCAATGTTAGACATCTGCTCTGTAAGCTGCACTGGTTTACTTCAAACTCCAATTCAAAGTGCTGATTTTAACCTATAAAGCCCTTATGGCATGGGCCTGGGCAATCTAAGACAGGGGCTCCCAATCTTTTGAGCATCAGGAACCAGTTTTGTGGAGAGAGGTTTTTCCATGGACCGGAGGAGGCATGGTTTCACACACTCCCTGCATTCCGTGCATGCACAAATGAGGCTTTGCTCATTTGTGCAGCCTGGTTTCTGATGCGCCGCAGACCAGGGATTGGGGAGCTCGATCTAAGGGACCACCTTTCCCCTTTTACATCATTCCTTCCCATCAGATTTTGCAGAAGAGGCATATTGTGGGTACCTTCAGCTAGGGATTTACATTTGGTGGGTTCAGTAGATGTGTCTTCTCTATTGTAGTGCCCATCTTATGGAACAGTCTCCACTCCCTCCTCCCATTAGATTGGCTTTTGATCCCTTTTGATATTCTGTTAAGATCCTCAAGACTTGGTTATGTAACCTGTTCTGGGCTTCTACAGAAACAGAGACTTGGCTAGATGGCTCCATTGTGAGGAGGGCATTTTTTATTCTCTCTTCACTTGGATTGTATTTTGTTTTTTTAGGGTATTTAATACTATTTTTTATATATTTGACTTCTCTGCTTTGCTATTTTTTTATCTATTGTTGCACCTAGAGTCTCCCTTGGTGAGTTGGACAGCTATATAAATTTGATTAATAAAACTAATAATAAGTTTTAAATGAACACAAAATGAATGACTATATGTGTGGCTTATGCTAATAGGAATATGCCATGACATTGTTTCACCTAACTCTAGCACAGGGTAAAACCAGGGCTTTTTTGTTATCTGGCATGAATACAGGTTCTTTGTAACAGATAGTTGGAACAGTTAAGCTTCATGAAGCTGATAGTCCGTGTATTGCTAAAGAATGCAGTGCTATCAGTTGCTGAGCACTGAGCAAAACCTAGGCATGATGTTCTCACTGAATGCTTTAAAGCATCAGACTCTGAGTGTATTTAGCACTACTTTTGTGCAGCAATCAGTTTCGCTCCCTATGATGTGCTTGAGTGGAAGAGGATTACCTATAATAAAGTAATTTTTCCAGTGTAATTCAAACTCAGCATATCCAGGCAAGGTTTTATCCAAGCAAGGAAGAACTCAGTAACTTGGAGCTGTCATCTTTGAAGGCTTGGTGCTCTAATTCCTATCATTACTAAATCCATCTTCCATTGGGCCTTGTGTGGGTATATCAGAGAGATTTATATCGTTAAAGGTAAAATATTTCCTTCTCTGTTGTGTTAGGATAAGGGACAGCTAGATAACTTTAATGGTTATATTATCATCTGAATATTTGTGACAAATCTAGCAAAATTCCAAAGAGGGTATAAATCATGATGAAGCATTGTTGTTTGAACTGGGATAGGTGCCAACAGCAAGCATTACCGTGGATGGAAATCCAGCCCTTAATCATGTAAGATGGACAAATTCAGGACGTGAGATTGCGGTGGGAGATTCCGAAGGACAAATAGTAATTTATGATGTGGGAGAGGTAGGTAATTTTCTAACTTATTTTGTTTTGCTTCAATAATAAAGAATGCATAGGAGTCATGTTTTTGTTTCAATTTAGAAAGTGTCTATTTAAAATTTGGGCAGATTTAAGTGCGAGTGTGTGTGCATGTGAAGATGAAAATTTAAAGAAATTATCATGAATATAGTTTTGTGAAGCAGCCTAAAACTACTTCAACCCTTCCCCTATTTCTTGGAAACTACTGCCCAACCCAATTTCCCATAATGCTGCTGCTCATTCACCATTCCTTTTTTATTCTGGGGGCATCCGATGGCAACAATTGGCAGGACTTTCAAATTACAAACTTTTTCAGAAAAGATTGCAAGTTATCCAGAATCTTTCATGTTGCAAAATAATGTAAAAAGTTGTCTGTATCCACGGAGTTTAAAACTGGAGAATATGAAAGGAGAGATACTACACAACAAAGATACAGTTTGCAACTGAGTTTAGGTCAGAAGCCAAAGAGGGTTGCTATTTGACTGCTTTTGTGTCACTTCAGAATCCTTTATATTTGAGTTTGGGGAAATTCTCCAGTGCTGTCAAAGTAGTTCAAACTAATGATTGTGGCTTAGGTTTGCTTTATTGGTTTGGACAAGTAAATAGTTTTCAAATTTCTTTTTCCTACATATGGTCTTACCAGACAGTAGAACAGCAGGTTGAAAGTACAATTCTTCTAGAAAACAGAAAAATGTGAAATATATTATTCCCATCTTATGAACTGTTTGTGTCCAGTTAGACACTGGCTAGATGCTTCTGCCTAGATCAGTGGTTCTCAACCTGTGGGTCGGGACCCCTTTGGGGGTCGAACGACCCTTTCACAGGGGTCGCCTAAGACCATCGGAAAACACATATTTTCAATGGTATTAGGAATAATTGTATGGTTGGGGGTCATCACAACATGAGGAACTGTATTAAAGGGTCGCGGCATTAGGAAGGTTGAGACCCACTGGCCTAGATCTTTGCTCACTGTGATTTCCTCATTGTAATGGAGATGGAGCCTACTCTTTGTGTTGAAATAAATTTTTCATGTTCATAAAAATTCAGGGAACCTAGAAATGTATATTTGTTTCAATTCTAGATTTTGGATACAAACCAATGATTTTTTTTAAAAAAAATCAGCATATTCATATGTTTACTAACACCTCCCATATAACTATTTCTCTACAGCAAATTGCTGTTCCCCGAAGTGATGAGTGGACCCGTTTTGGCCGGACATTAGCTGAAATTAATGCAAACAGAGCTGATGCAGAAGAGGAAGCAGCAACTCGAATTCCTTCTTAAAATTTTACAGAGGATTCTAGCAGTGAATTTGGGAATGAGCTACAAAAAGCTTCAATGTAGTAGCATGTTCTAGCCTGCAGCAGCAACTTGAACGTGAAAACATGTAGTCAACTATGGATTTGACAAGTGTATAAAGATTACTGAAGCAGATCTTGTGAAGTTGCTTTTTAAAAGCTAGATCACATATTCTTAATCTAATCTGCATATATTAATATTTATCCTAACTTGGCAAGTCATATCTTCAGTTGAAACACTACTTATATATTTAAAGTTACTTAGGCTATCCAACTTTCAATGGGATTTAAGTAAGTTATGTAACCTATTTCGGGGGGGGGGATTATGGAACTGCTTAGAGTTATGGTAGTTACACATGTATCTGTTCACAGCAACCTTTATCCTATATGTTATACAGTAGGCTCCCATGGTGATAGATCATGTAAAGGAATAAAAATAATCTATTAAACCTTTTTTAATTAATGGAAAATTTCTAAAATCCTTTGGATTTTTTGTTAAATTTGTGTAGTTAGTAAGGATTCTTTATAAATAAAATACATGATGTTTTTCTCATACATATCCATTTAAAGACTTGATTTTTTTTAATAGGATTGTGTTACGTGCTAATAATGCACACAAGATTTGTAGGGGAAAAGGAATCTAAAATGTACTTTCTATTTATGCCTATAATAAAAATGAAGGATACAAATGATTTTTAGGTTTAAAACTTCATTTTAAATTGTTGGATTGGATATAGCTTGCACAATTCTGCCCAGAAAGAAAAAAAATGAAATCTTTTTGAAATCCTATGACCACAGGATAATCTGTAATTTATCTGGGAATTTTTCTAAAATTTAAGAGGCAACACTTCATTTTTTTATGGTAAACTCACAATAATCTCAGGATTGATGGAGCCGGTTCTATACTACGTTCGCCACTGATGGGATGTCTCATCTTCTCAGGACTAATATGGCCAAACCACTGTGAGAGGGTGGTTTTGGACTTTCCAACTTGCCTTGACCAGTATGGCCGACCACCGTGAGAGGGTGGTCTGGATATTCTCCCAGTTGGACAGAACGTGAGGACTCCTACCTACTACTGTGAGAGGGTAGTGGTGATTCTTCCGGTTTAACCTAGCCTTGTTTCCTGGACGTTTAAGACTATCATTATGGACTCCTAGGCCATGTCTAGGCCATATCTGTACTACCACTCCAGTGTTTTCGGATGTATTCTAGGTCTAAGCTTCTTGCGCTGCGAGATTCCCCCCTCTCGCAGGCTTGGCCCTCTGTGTTATCGAGGGCCCACCTTAATGATGGGTTTTGGGACCCCGAGAGGTGGCATGTCGCAAAAAGGGGATTGAGGGGTTTTTTTAGGACATTTTTAAATAGACTTTTAAGGGGTTCTGGGGGGTGGGAAGGTTAGGTGGGTTTGGGGGATAACCCACGGGGGAAAAGGACTGGCCCGGCAGTAAATGGTGGCACGGGGGGGGTATGGACTCTGGAGGTAAGAGGGCTATTAGAATGCCCTCTGTTGAGGGCTTTTCTATTAATACGCTGAGTGGGAGGGGCAGATATGGTGGGAGCAGGGGACGCATCGTGTGGTGGGGGCATGCACTCGCTATCTTCGAGCGGTTGCATGCCCCGGTCCCCTTAGCTCTTCCCGTTCCCCAGGTTGCTCAGAATCTCAGGGCCCGGGTCTCTGGCTGCTGTTATGCAGTGCCAGGTCTGTAGTAAATAAGGCCCCCCTCATTTGTGACCACCACCAGGAGGGGGGAGCGGACCTGGCAGGCATTACGGAGACCTGGTTGGGCCATGAAGGGGAGGTTCTCCTTGTGGATATGTGCCCACCAGGCTTCCGCGCATTTCATCAGCCGAGAGCCCAGGGCAGGGGTGGGGGGCTAGCGGTTATTATAAAGGAAGGTCTTGATCCGAGGGAGGCCACTGTACCTCAGATAGCTGGATGTGAGTCCCTTTTTGTGAAGTGGGGTCGTGGGGTGCAGATGGATCTGTTGGTCACGTACCTGGCTCCCTGCCACATGGCAACGACCCTGCCCGAGCTCCTCAACGTCATAGCCGAGGTGGCGGTTGATAACCCCAGATTTTTGGTCATGGGGGATTTTAACCTGCCATCCATCGGTGAAACGTCTGAGGTAGCTCGGGAGTTCATGGCTTCCATGACGGCCATGGACCTGACTCAAGTAATTCATGGCCCTACTCACATAGGTGGACACACTCTGGACTTAGTTTTTATCTCTGGTCAGTGGCCGAGTGGCCTTGATACAGGGGATATAGGCATTGAACCCTTGTCATGGTCTGACCACTCGCTCCTTCGATTTGACTTTCTGACCGCCGCACCCCGTCGCAGGAAGGTGGAACTGACCAGGTGGTTCCGCCCCAGGCGCCTGATGGATCCTGATATGTTCCAGATGGAGCTTGGGCCATTTCCTGAGACTCTGGCTCACGACTCGGCTGAGGACCTGGTGGCTGCCTGGGACAGTGCGGCCGCCGGGGCTTCGGACCGTGTCGTGCCTTTGCAGCCTCTGACCCGGCACTGAACTCACTTAGCTCCTTGGTTCTCCGAGGAGCTGAGGGAGATGAAGTGCCAGAAAAGACACTTAGAGAGCGGTTGGAGGGCCAGCCGGTCCGAATCTGACTTGACACTGGTAAGGTCTCATATTAAGACCTACCCAGTGGCGATAAAAGTGGCGAAATCTAGCTATTTTGCTGCTCTTATCGCGTCATCAGATAATCGTCCAGCTGCCCTGTTTAGGGTGACCCGCTCCCTCCTCCATCTGGGAGCGTGGGATGACCCCTTGCAGGGCCCAGCTGAGGATTTTGTACAATATCTGTATGATAAAATAACTCAGATTCGGGAAGACTTGGCCACTGACTGGGTTAGTTCAGACGAGATGACTGAGGCAGGTCTTGAGAATGTTATCTGGGAGGAGTTCGATCCTGTGGCTCCCGAGGACGTGGACAGGATCTTGAGACGGCTGAACCACATGTTTATTGGACCTGTGTCCCTTCTGGTTGGTGCTGGCTTCCCAGGAGGTTACACGAGACTGGCAAGCTTCAAATAAAATATTTTAGTGCAGTTGTAACATTTTGTAAACTACCCAGCAAATTGGCCATAAAGTAAACTATCTTAACCTTCAAGATTTTGCATTGCTCTAAAGTTGATTTCGCCATTGATGGTAGTTTCATTTTTTTGTAAATGCCAATTACTCTCCTGTGCAATAAGACTTTTTTTTGAATTTGTAATGTAATTGCTTCTGAAATAACTGCTTACAGGCTTTTACGTATAGTTGCTTAGAATGGGTGGGCAACCTGTGGCTTGAATAACACATGTAAATCTTTTCTCCGTTCCTTTTTTTTTTCAGATGTACCTGATTTCGTTGCCTTAATTGAGGAGTAAAATGGCATATTTCAGGGATGTTTGATGGTGGGGCAGGGTGGGTAAAATAAGTCAGTGCATATTGGAGAAAAACTATATACTTACAGATAAACCCATTGGCAGATTTGCTGACTCTGAAATTTTTAACCCAACTGTCATGAAAAAATGTATCATCCATGGATAAGCCTATCCTCAAAATTGTTGTATGATTTAATTTTCACAATTGACTTAGCAGCAGCTGGTGCATTTTTCATGATATTTGGGTTAAAAATTTAAGGATCTGCTTATCCACAGACTGGAGTATCTGTAAGTATATAAGAGAGAGATTGTATTTTAAAGAAGCTGAGGGAACAACCTATTATACATACTCGCAGATAAGCCCATCTGCAGATAAGCCAAAACCAATTTTTTGGTGATTTTGGCTCCTAAAAGACTTGCCTTATCCACCACTATATATAGAAGGCTGAATATCTCAATCCAGTTTCTCCCATCATGGCATCATGAGGCACTCTGCAGCCATCAGTGTTATTTTAAAAGGTAGACATTTGAAGAATAAAATTGCTTATTTCAGGGTAGGAGACAGGATGGTCTTGTTCAGGTGGAGCCTTTAAAATGATACGCATAGATACAAAATATTGTCTATAACAGACAAATATTTTCAAAATAATTTTGGAAAAAATCTTCCGTTCATATGGATTTCTTGGAATAGTGATAGATCAGCTTCGTTGCACATATTAGTAATCAGATTTTCCAGCCTTTGGGAAGGATGGGTTGTTTTTTTTGTTTTTGTTTTTTTGCAGGCTTTTTGCCCCATTTTCCTATGAGGCTTCAGAAGTGAAGGGAGGGAGTTGCCTTACAGTTTGTGTAAGATCTGGACTTGAGGGTAGTTGGTGGTGACTGGCAGTTTCCTTGGAGGCATTTATTAATTGGTTGCTGGGAATGGTGGTGTCTCTATTTTAATGGGTTTACCACATCTGCCTGAGGTCTGGATCAGGCATCTGAGTGAATGGTAGATTTTAACCAGCTCTATTGAACTGTTGATGGTTCATTACCTCAGTATTGATCTCCCAAAGACAGAGAGCCTGATTCTAAGTAAGTCTTACATTTTGTATCTAGCACTTTTGTATTCTAATTTTTGAAAACTATCTGCATACAGGAGCTTATGGATGTACAGCAGAGTTCCTTTTGTAGATAAGCCCCCAATTAAGAAGGAAATAGTCACATGGGTACATTGCCTGAAATTCTGTTGCCCTTGCATATTGCCATGGCTTCATCATCAAGTAGCTCTCTGCATTCACCTAATTACTGGCCAAATAATGAGACCCCATTTCCAGATCTTAAAAACATGCTGCATTTTTCCCTTCAATCTATAGTGGGGAGGCTAGAGAGATTACCAATTCTTCAGCTTCTTCAGGCTTTTTAAAAATACTCCTAAAAATACTCCTAAAAAACAACAACACTAAACATCAGAGTATTAGAATATTATTGAGGAGCAACATTCTAGGTTAATTTTATTTTCTTTAAAACTTAGTCTCTTAAAGATTTGGTGTCGACTTCCGGTTTCCTTGTCTTCGGCGACGGCGGCGCTCTTTGAAGCTCCGCCAGCCCCGCCGCCTGTAGAGCCGCTTCGTGATCGAGAAGCGGCTCGAAAACTTCAAAATCCTGAGGATTGTTGGAGGAGAGATAGCAGGGCACAGGTCGAGCCCCTGTAACCCCCCAGGGAATCGTTTCTGGGGAGGAAACAGGCGCGGCTCCCTTCCAACCTGCTGAGACTCCGGGCGGCGTGGGACGATTCTGCTTCTGCAGAACAAGCCGGCTGCAGGAAACTTAAAGCGAAAGAACTAGCTTTAATAAACAGCGAAACTACCTGAATCCTGAAATTTGGAAACGCAAGTATTAGCACTTTGTTGACTTTTCAATCTGAGAAAATGCAAATGAGTGAAAGTGCTTTGAAAAAACATGGCGCCTAGCTTCAGAGTTAACGAGCCAGCGAGTGTGGATTGGTGAAGTTACTTTGTTTTGCTACAAAGTTTCCAAGTTGCTACTAAGCTGCCTCGCTTGTTATAAGAGAAATAACTGGGAAATTTTTTCCCTTTTCAATATTGGACTTTGCTTTATTTTAACCCTTGTTTGATCAAATCTGGGGGACTTTTTTAGAAGTCTTTGTGCAGGAGGGAAAGGAAAAGGAACCTCCCTCTTTAGAAAAACTAGATCACGAGCCAGGATGGCTTCAAAGAAGCAGGAAGGGAAGGCATTAGGGGGGGGGATCCCCCACACACAAACAGCAAACGCAACTTCCCCCTGCTCAACAGTTACAAA